GTGTCCCAGTGAGTCCCAGAGTGTCCCAGTGAGTCCCAGAGTGTCCCAGTGAGTCCCAGAGTGTCCCAATGAGTCCCAGTGAAATCCAGAGTCTCCCAGTGATTCCCAGAGTGTCTCAGTGAGTCTCAGAGTGTCCCAGTGAGTCCCAGAGTGTCCCAATGAGTCCCAGGGAGTCCCAGTGAGTCCCAGAGTGTCACAGTGAGTCCCAGAGTGTCCCGGTGAGTCCCAGTGATTCCCAGGGTGTCCCAGTGATTCCCATAGTGTCCCAGTGAGTCCCAGAGTGTCCCGGTGAGTCTCAGTGATTCCCTGAGTGTCCCAGTGATTCCCAGAGTGTCCCATTGATTTCCAGAGTGTCCCAGTGAGTCCCAGTGATTCCCAGGGTGTCCCAGTGAGTCTCAGGGAGTCCAATAGACTCCAAGAGAGTCCAAGAGAGTCTCAGAGTGCCAGAGAGTATCTGAATTCCAGAGAGTCCCATTGACTCCCAGTGAATCACAGAGAGTCTAATAGAGTCTCTGAGTCCCAAAGAGTCCCAGAGTCTCTGAGTCCCAAAGAGTCCCAGAGTCTCTGAGTCCCAAAGAGTCCCAGTGATTCCAAGAGAGTCTCTGAGTTTCAGAGAATCCCAGCTTCAGAATAAGAAGTGTATGAGAGTAAGCACCATTTTATGATTTCACCATCACAGTGAGGACATTTTACTGGTCCTCATCACCCATCTATGGTTTAAGAATGAGAGATGAGCTGAGTTTAGGTCCAGGCTAGAGTTGGGTTTGTTCCAATAGTGGTTGGTTAGGGTTATAGTCAGGGTCAGGCCATAGAAAGGGTTAAAATGACTAAAAATCAACACATGATCCTTACTACATATAGCAAAATGAGAATGTGTGCTGATGTGTGTGTTTGGGGTGTGTGTGTTGGGTGGGGGTGTGCTGGGGGGGGTCCTGGCTTCAGATGGACATTCCTAAGAGCTGACTGCTGCAACACATGGCAACCATTACACTGACAGACAAACACGTACAGACAAAATTAGAAAATACAAGAATGGACCTTCACACTGAGAGCTCTGATAGAGTTCTGCAGAACGGAGCCGCTTTAAAGGTGCAGAACGCAAAACAGCAAAGCTCTGTGTTCAGAGGCCTAAAGCATAAAAACTCCATCCTGAAGGAGTCCAACACCGTCAACAAACTAAAGACACGGGAAATACAAAAGTCCAAAAAAAGACAAAAACTGAAAAGAACTAAAACAATCGTAAAATTTTTTAAGAGACCAGGCTTTAAATGGCAGAACCTGGAAATAAAATAAACCCTAAAGATCCAGAATTAAAGTTTAAGAAATAACGTCAACTATTAAAAAGAAATAAAGAAAATGGAAAAACCTTCGACAGCTATTATAATGCAAAAAATAATAAAAGCTACAAACCAACAAACTGATCCTGAAAAGCTCCCTACAGAATGACGTAAAAACATATCAAAACGATCAAATAATAACAAAAACTAACCAAAACAATGAGCTAAAAACGAAAAAATTCCAGATATGATGGTTAGAAGGTTTATAAATGCTGAGGAACGAACATCGAGAAGCTTTTTGAAAATTTGTGAATAGATGAAGATTGAGATGGAAAACGAAACGACAAATAAATTCCAGACGCTAATGTGATGGAAAACCTGGAGACCAAAGATCAATCAGAATACAAGGCTGAAAAATTTAATTAAGCATAAACTATCCAGGCATCAATAATCAATCAAAGAAAATATCCTAGAAACATTTCCAAATTACCTCATAAACATTTTAAAAACACCATGTTCATATTCTCATTCTGGAGATCTTTTAGATCATATTTTCTGAGGGGGGCGGGGGTCTGTGGGGCCCTACAGGGGGTTTCCGTCCCCAGGCCCCCCAGCAGCTTGGGCCAGCCCTGCTGCTTTCCTCTATAGGGTCTATTTTCAGCAGCTGTCTGTGAAGAAATGGCAGAGCTCAGCTGTCCCTCCATCAATCACCTCCACCCCCCAGCAGCTCAGCCTGCCCCCACTGAACCGGTAATGAATGAAACCAGGAGCTGAAGGTCCATCCTGGAAGCATCTCATCTCCAAGAACTCCTCCTGCTGGAGTCCACAAAGCACGTTACCTTCTGGAAAAATTTTCAACCTCTGAACAGCACCTGCTGACCTGAACCTGCAGCTGAATGTCAAAAGAATCCTAGATGTTCTATATCAGAACCTAAACTTCTCCACCCCCTGATCATCTGCAGTCATGAGAACATCCTGCAGTTCTTCTCATTTCTCAGAGATAAAAACATCTGGTGAAGGCTAACTAAAACCTTTAGATATTCATCTTCCTTTCTCTACGTTTTCGCATCATCTGAGGAATCCAACCAGAACCTACAGCTTTAAAACATTACAGAAGATTCTGGAAGTTTTGTTAAGTTTCTCAGAGGATCTGAAACCCCCCTTCAGTGTCCACCATATTGGATCAGTCCTTTTGCTGCACATGTTCAGAAAGGTCCAAACAGACAGCAGCAAACCATTTGAAAACAAACGGTTCAAAGAGCATCAGTGTTGCCATCTGTATTTAGCGACTTTTTTGACCCTTCTAGCGCTTTTATTGCAAAAAAGTGACTAAAAATTCTGGCAATTTTTTTCTGCTACTGGAGACTTTGGCGATAGCATCTAAAAGAAGCTAACTCTGCTCTCCAGAGCGAGTAGATTGGTAACCCCGCCTCCTGCTCTCCTCTATCTTGATTCATGCAGCTATTTTTCATCCAAATGAAAAATGGAGAACAGAGAAGCAGAGTACAAAACATAGAGAGGAAAACAAGAAGAAAGGGACAAAACGTAGAACTTACAATGGATGTCTATTCTATTAAAAGTTCTCTATCTGTATAATGGGTCTGTTTCATGTGTTGTCTTCTCACTTCAGAGGGCCCCCTGCCTGTCTTTGCCTAGGACCCCAAATTTCCTAAATCCGCCCCTACTGTAGATGCCACCTCTGAGCAGGGGCGGTTCTAGACCAAATGTACCAGGGAGCCAGGAGGGGGGCCAGTGTTTTTTTTTTTTTTAAATGGGGGCACAGAAAAGCATGAAATAAAAAAAACAGGGCAATTGATTCAAATATATTAAGAGAGCTGCGTGAGGTGAAATTCCTATTCAATTAGGTTTCCTTAAAATTATATGTCTTATAGGTCAAATTACATTCATAATGTAGGAATTCTACATATTTAACAGATTTTTTTTTAATGGGATCCTATCTCAATACCACTGAAGCTATCACCTAATGGTTTCTAAATAATTAGTAAATCAGAAATTGTAAAGATGAATGAAATAAATCCAAAGGATCTATCAGTAACCATATCTGTTCCAGCGCAGATCATCAGTAGAATTTCTTTGAGTATTATGGCTTCAGTACAGGGGGCAGGACATGATCTACAGGGGCACTGGCCCCCGTTGGCCCCTGTGTAGAACCGCCCATGCCTCTGAGCAGGTTAGGTTCCTCTAATTGATGTGAAGACCAGAGGAAGAACTTCCTAACATCTAAAGCTGTGAGGAGCTTCTGGACCTTCATTTCCGTGCCTGTCCTGCTGTGGAAGCACCAGGCAGGGCCCCTTACACCTGTCTGAGCCTCAGGGGCCCCCAGCCTCTTACCGATGGAGACCAGCTTGATGTGCTCCCTCTCCAGGAACTCCAGAGCCACGGACACGTTCTCCAGCTTCATCTGCCTGAAGTTGGGTCTCAGGTGGTACTTCCGGTACATCTTCTTCTGGCTCAGCACCTCCAGCAGCCCGATCAGCTTCAGCCCGTCGCTCAGGTCCTTCTGCAGGTCCGCGATCCGCTTGTTGAGCACCTTCAGGTGCTCGTTGCACCACCTGGTGAAGGTGTTCTGCTGGATCTTCTTCCAGGGCGCGTCCTCCGCCAGGTCCTTCTCTGTGGCCGGCATCTCCTCCTCCTCCTCCTCCTCCTCCTCCTCTGGATCTGCGTTGCTGAGGAAGAAGAGCTGCTGCGGCTCCAGGAAGCCGCTGTTCTTCATCATGCTGCGCTCCTTTTATATCGGAGGAACCGAATAGGAGCGGCGGGGGGCAGAGCCAGGATCACAGGGGCCAGAGCCGGAGGGTCCAGTCCGAGGGGGAGGATCCCAGAAAAGTTGGGCTTGCTCCGAGGAAAAGCAGCGCGGACTGCGGGGCTGTGGCCCGGAGGACTGAGGCTGGGCTCCAGGGGACCCGCAGGGTTAAGGAGATCAGCGTCACTCTGCTGGACTCCCAAGAATGACCCCCACCATCACCAGATCCATCTGCAGCCCCCCAGAGAGCCGGCCCGCCAGCTGATTGGTCCACGGCGGAGCGGGAGGTGGGGCCCCTCCTAGGGCCAGACCCGGGGCTCCCCGTCCAGATGACACCTTCGGGTATTTTTAGAGAAGCAGCAGCTTGTAAAAGCGGAGCTGGAGAACCAAACAGATCCCAGGAAATGATCTAGATTCTGCCTTCTGAAAGACCCAGAGATCACTGGACCTGCGGTTCATTCAGTTAAAATTCACTTTTTGATCAAACTAAAAACTAAACTGAACCTTCCTGCAGTTTGATGCAGCAGCAGCGCCGCCTGCTGCAGCTTTATGGACACTGCAGCAGCAGCTGCTACATCCTCTGATCACACCTCCACATGGGGGGGATTCACCATTAGGGAATAGTAGGCAGTTGCCTATGGCCCCAAATTCCTGGGGGCCCATAAAACTCTATTTACATGAATGGTTAATACAACTATTCCTTATTTGTGCACATTAATTATGTTTTTAATAACATCGAACGTTCTGCTCTCTCTGCTTTTTCTCATAGTAGCTTCATCTGGTCTGTTCCTGTTTGGCTGTGACTCCATCCTGGAGAGAAATATCAGCTTTGCTGCTGCCATCAACACCTTTGTTTATAGATGTTGGAGATCAGCCTGTTTTTCAGTGTAGTCCTGTTTCTTTGACTGTGACTAACTGGCTATGCTCTCTTCATCCTCCGGCATGGGAGCTGGCTCGGCGCTCGTCTGCCTGGCTGTGTGTTTCCTGGATGGGGCTGCCTTTTACAGTTGCCTTTTGTATCTATGCTTCTATTTCTATCTCTGCTTCTGTCTCCTTGAACCCAGGCGGCCTCTGCAGATGGCCGCTCACACTGAGCCTGGTTCTGCTGGAGGTTTCTTCCTGTTAAAATGGGGTTTTTCCTCTCCACTGTCGCTACAAGCATGCTTAGTGTGAGGGATTGTATTTGAGTCAATGAGTCGATGCAATCAACTGGTTTTCCTTAGATGGAAAACTTTGAATCAATGTGACAGGGTGATCTGGTTGAACTGTAAAGTGCCTTGAGATGACATGTGTTGTGAATTGGCGCTATAGAAATAAACTGAATTGAATTGAAATCGATCAAAATCCTTTTACTAAAAAACCATCAGAACGCTTATAATATTAAGTGTGCTTTTGTTGCTATATTTAGCAACACTTCAGACCCCTCTAGCACTTTTATTTAAAAAAAAACTTTTTACAGCTGCTGGAGACTTTGGCAACAACAGATAACATCTTTCCTTCCTTTTGGGACAGCATGAAAAGTCAGCTGAGTACAAAACATAGAGAGGAAAACAAGAAGAAAAGGGGCAAGAAGAGAGGGACACAACCTAGAACAAATATGTCTATTCTATTAAAATTTCTGTATCTGTTTTATGTGTTGCCTTCTTAATTGAGAAGCCCCCCTGCCTGTCTTTGCCTAGGGCCAACACTTCTATTTGCATGGTTTGTTTTCAAATGGTTTGCTGCTGTCTGTTTGGACCTTTCTGAACATGTGCAGCGAATGGACTGATCCAATATGGTGGACACTGAAGGGAGGGGGGGTGAGACACACTTAATATCATAAGCATTCTGATGGCATTTTGGCGAAAGGATTTTAATCAAAAACATAATAAATGTGCACAAATAAGAAATAGCTGTATTAACCTTACATGTAAAAGGAGTTATATGGGGCCCCCAGGAACTTGGGGCCCTAGGCAACTGACCAGTACTGCCTAATGGTAAATCCCCCCTGAGGGAAAATACACCAATTTTAAGAAAAAGGCATTCACTTATATTTACTTTTTGCAGTGTATATTTTCAGGGGCTATAACAGGGGCCAGTAATACAGAAGCCTTGGCCCCTGCTGGCCCCTGTCTAGAACCACCCTTGTGGATTTGGAACCAAACGCCCACAGAACCTTCATCAGGGGCCGAACCTTTCATCAAACCGATGGAGCTGGAGCAGAAATGGCGGTTTAGTAGTTCTGACACCATTTGGTAGAATTTGCCTTAACTGCAATGATCCGCTTAAAGACAGCAGGGGGCGCTGCTTCGTGGTGGAATCAGGCTGGATGCAGGAGTAATGAGGAGGAGGAGAGTTTGGAGGACCAAACCTTTACCTAGAAACACAGGGGATGGTGCAGAATTGAGCTCTTTTTGCCCCAAACAGTCGGAAAGCGTCAGGAAACTGAATGGCTTTACCAATAAATGTGCAAACATGACCGGAGCATCCATTTTGGCATCAGCAGAAACCAGCTCTGAAGCAGGACAAAAAAACCACAGAATGTGCAAACGGCAAGAAAATATATATATTTTTTAATGAAAAACAGAGCATTATGCTTAAACTGAGAAAGCAGCAGCATCTACAGGACGTGCATAAGGTGCAGTTTCATTAATAAAGTGCTTCAGGTAAAGAAACGCCGCGCAGACATCAGTAACGACCTTCATGTTCAGGAATTTAGACCACAGAGATTTAACTGGAGCCCATCAGATGGTTCTGGAACTGGATCCCAGTCAGTCAGAGATCTTAAAAATGATGCAGACCATCTTATCCTGTGGTCTTCAGTCTGCTCTACAGACCAGGAGGTCAAAACACCAAATAATGACTCAAAGATAGCTAAGACAGCAGATGATGCTGAGGAGAGGAAAGCGGCTGACATGAAAGCAGATCATTTTTAGCCAATAAAAGAAGAAATGTCTTTTCCTTTGGTTAAAAACTATAAAGAAGGATTCCAATCGTTTTTAAGTCCATCAGATCCACGGTTACCGACGACCAAAGTCTAGAAGCTGCAGGTTAGCGCTTCATCCAGAACATTTCCGCATAATAGCCACCAGTTTGTCCACCTCAGCCTTGGAGACGAAGCGAGGACGGCGGACGACTCTCCTCTTTGTGTTGTGTTTGGGGTTCCTCTGGTACATGTCTGCAGAGGGAGGAGAACGGTCAGAGCTCCGCTAACAAGAAAACTCCAGAGTTCTTCAAGTATCTGTTTGGGCGTCTTCCATTTGAATGTTTCCAACAGATTTAGATCTGGGACTAAAGTCAGTCCATATGCTGATGATACTTTTATTTATAAAACAATTTATCAGACTGTTAGAAATTTATGAAAACTTTCCTGAATCATTGTGGTTGGAAAATTTTGATTCCTATTATTTTCCAATTTCACATATTGTTTTATGAGTACTGATTTTCTATTTACTTAAAAAAAATGTTTTTAGTGAGTCTGTTTCAACTGTAGGCCACAAAGTGTGTGAGGGAGAGGAGACAAGAAAAACTATTCCCATAACATGGCGGGTTCTTTCTCGAGGTTTATCTATAACATGTTACTGTCATTTATTTTGAGTCTGACAACTTTCACAGTTTTTCCTGTATTGTGAGTGAGACAAAGTCTAGACCAGAAACAGGCTGAACACCAGACTGTGAGGGCTGTTATGACTGACTAATAAAATAAAATGCAGACTGAATGACTGATTTATTTGACTGGTCTGTCTAGTGGAATATGTTTTTAACACGACTACCATCTGTCCGTCCGTCCATTCATCCATTCACCCCTTCATTCATCCATCCATCCATTCATCCATCTATTCATCCATCCATCCGTCTATTCATCCATCGGTCCGTCCCTTCATTCATCCATCCGTCCATTCATCCATCCATCCCTTCATTCATCCATCCATCCATCCATCCATCCATCCCTTCATTCATCCATCCATCCATTCATCCCTTCATTCATCCATCCATCCATCCATCCATTCATCCATCCATCCATCCATCCATCCCTTCATTCATTCATCCATCCATCCATCCATCCAGCAATCCATCCCTTCATTCATCCATCCATCCATCCGTCCATTCATCCATCCATCCCTTCATTCATCCATCCATCCATCCATTCATCCATCCATCCCTTCATTCATCCATCCATCCATCCATTCATCCATCCATCCC